AAAATCCCGGAACAAATGTAAATTCAACAGCTAATGGAGAACACTATAAACAATAATGTCAAATATTAAAAAATCAGAAAAACTTCAAAAAATACGTTTCAGAAAAAATTACTTGGAAGTACTTATCGTATGCAATTCCACAAAAAAAAAAACGTTTTGAAGACTACTGTTTGATCGAATCCAAATTCTTGAATTGAAACTTTTTAGTTTTTCCGTTAATTGCGATTGGAGGAATATAGCAAGCAAACTACAACACCTATAACCCAATTTCATGAATTGCAACTTCTTTTTACTGTGATTTAGAAGAAAATTAATGAGTGTTCCAAAATAAACTTGATAAACTTAAAAATTGAGGAAATTGACCGACCTGGTTAGACAAGTGAACTGCAACAGGGACGAAATTGACTTTGCTGTTGTGAATTGCAATTTTTTTACCGTGAATGGTTTTTTTATGTGAATAACGATTAATGTTAATTCCAATCACTGTTTAGAATCAACTTTCCTGTTGTGAATTCGGTATAATAAAAACGTCAGAACAATACGATGATCATGGAAAGTTGTATGATCATCGCACCCAATTTCGTGAATTCAAAGTTTTTTTTTATCCAAATTGTGATTTGTCCGGTATCAAGTAGACGTTTGCGATTGTATGAAATCGCTGTTTTTTTCTTCTTCTGTGAATTGGTGTAGTCGATTTTTGTCACAACGATCGTTCGAAAAAGGAGTAATCCGATTTGGATTTTCAGGAATAAGGAAACGTAGATTATTTTTAAGGAAATTATTCTTTTTTTATTTTCAGAAAATTAAACAATTTAACAAAACTACGTAGTTTTGACTCATTGGGTACCTAAGCTTATATACCCTTAAGGGTATATTCACTTTTCCTATATATATATATATATATATAGATAGCTATATATATATATATATAGAGATATATATATATAATATATATCTATATATATATATCTATATATATATACTAGCCGTTTGCCCGCGCCAAGTGACGGGTGCAAATAATTTTCTCATAAATTAGTTTCTGGAGGAGATTAGTTCTTTTGTACAAATAGTTTATCGGACATTCAAGTTTCAGTCATAGGTAATGAGACGTGTCAAAAACCAAAGATTAGTTTTCTTTTTGTGGTTTGTTCCCTTTAGGTTCGAGTATTCTGTTTTTGGGTTGTACCGAGGAGTGTCAAGAACCGAATATTAGTTTTCTTTTGGGCATCCAACTTTCTCTTCGTGGGTTGTACCATGACCCACCTCCTCCACCCCTGTTTTACCGAGAACCATCATCACATACACATACACATTGTCTAAGTGTTTGGAGATGTAATTAAAAATGCTTGGTACCAAAACCGGTTACAACAATTGTTTAAACTTTGGAATCAACATCAGAACCGATTGGAACCTAGCGATGCAACGAATGAGTATAATTCATTATATATATAATAGTTTTCAAATGGCGATTAATTTTTTTGATGAACTGTTTTGGGTCTAATATGTTGTTCTTTTCGGATTGATCGTGTGTAGTGTTTGATTCAATAAGTTCTTAAGCACTTCTGCATTGATGATGCCATGAAATTTGTTAGGGTAGGGAATTCAGGAATTCCAGGGGTAGTTTGAGGGAAAGATTGAATATACTCCGGGATTGCATGTTTTTATAAGTTGAAACATATTAGATGCTTATTAACTATGTCCATTAGTATTTTTAAACCCATACACAAACTAACCGACCATTTTGAATGCACTTATTTATCAATTGTTTCATGGTGTTTATTGATGTTGTCCATTAATATTTTTAAACCCATAGATTAACTAACAAACCATTTTAAATGCATTTATTTATCATTTATTTTAAAATAAGTTTTCCTATATAACTGTTTTAATTGTTACTATTAGTTATGGAAAACAAATTATCAAATCAAAACATCTAAGTAAAATTATATCATAAATTTTGTAAATCATAAATGCATAGATAGATATCAAAATAATATAATAAAAGAAAATCAACATAATTAAAATTTTGAATATATAGAGAGAAAAATTATAATATGGTATAGTGATATCTCAAGATACAAAAAAGTAGTCATTGGTGATTTTACCATAGTCAACAACTCTCTGTACCCACCAGAATTTATTAATTTAAACATTGTTCTTTTCCTTTTTCTAACTGCTGCTCCAAAACATCATCCATTTTTCAGTTAAACAAAAGGCTTGCAAAATCTGAATCAACCTTGGTGTTCTTTTTATATACAAATCGAAAAAAACCGTTGCACAATAAATTAACAATATTTACACTCATTTTATCATTTTATCAATAGTCAATAGAATTTTGTTTTTTCAAGAATACAACAGCCAAATCTAATGAGGGACTCCAGTGTGCCAAGTTTCGTTTTATTTCCCTTTAACAGCAACCTAATTTTCTGGACACAGGAAGTCACATATGCTTCCAAAATTGGGCAACCAATATCAAACTAAATACAAATGTTTGAAGTCAAACATCTAATTAAATATAAATGAAAAACAAAGATAAACTTACTCATGGGTATCCATTTTATAGGTTGAGTATGAACCAAAATCAATGACAAAACAATCATTGCAACTACTCATTTCCATCACTTGAATATCTAAATCAGTACAAAAATGAGAGATAAATTAGGAAATTTCTTTAAATAAAATTGAAAGATAAATCTGGACAGTTACCATTTAACCACTTGAAGAACTTCAATCTAAATCCTAAAACAGAGTGCAATTTCCATCTCTTTAAATATGGTTTTTCACTCAACATATGCTCCTCTATTTTATGTACTTTTGAAAAAACAAAGACTATCCAACCAACAAAAATGGAGTAATGAGTAAACCCCAACAAAAGCAATGCTCAATACCTTTCTCAATGAACCAAAAAATAAACCTTTAACTTGGATGAAGGCTCGTTATCACACGGATCTTCAATATAACTATTTTACAAATCTGCAAATAATATTGATAGATTCATCAGGTAACAAAGAATCTTAATAAAGGAAGCACCAACCTGCATTACCGATAGAACCTTCTAAATTTCAGCAATCTCTTTCTCCAGAATGTCTTCTGGAATTGTATGTGCCCGAGTGGCCTCAAAATTCTTCTGATCCAATTCTGCAACCTATAAAATAAACTACTTTACAATTTTTTCAAGTTAGACTCCAAGAACATTAGATGTTTCTTGATTTGGAAGATACATTGTATTCCAACCCATATAAAGAAAAATTTTGCATTTCTAGAACTGAAAAAGAACAAATTACGGTCTGATACAAACATTGTAGCATATAATAACTTTGGGAAGAGAGAAATGATACCAGGGGAAAAGAAAATCCCAAATCAGCTTCCTAACGAAAAAAATTGTAAAAATTGTAATAACTTACTGAACCCAAATCACAGATCCACTTCCATCTTGAAACCAAATATGTTAAAACATCAATACCAATTAACTACAAGAAAAAAAATCATTACCAAAACACTCGGAGGATATTTCCTGATTTGAAGACAAATAATCACTATTTTTTATAAGAATGACACCATTCACTGTATAAAGATAAAAGATACGTTAGCATTTAGTATTAACCAACAATCAAAAGAAGTTTTATACCCAATATTATCTGAGAAATAATTACGTAATCAAAAGAGATTTTATATCCGGTATTAGTGACTAAATTTGATTTGAATCTAGATGGCTTGCCTCTTCTGCATAAATGGAGATCTCGATGTATTTTTCATCCACTTCTTGACAAATGAATGACCATTTACTTCGTTCACAAGTGTTTCTGCAGATTCAACAAATATTGATATTCCATCACCTGGTTAAAAGACAATGTAATTACGTGTATGTATTAGAGGTATTAGAGGAATTTCATCGAACAGTTGGAGGGCAACTGTTAAGCATTACTTTTTCTCCTCAAGAACAGGTGCAGACACATACACATATAGAGTACCATATAATTAAAGGCTTAAGCAATATGTTTTTTTTAAAAAAAGGAAACTAACCAACAGAAGAAGAAACAACCGACTGCATTTTTTATTATCCATTTTTACCTTTTTGATCCTCAGGGAGAGCGTGAGACAGTGATATCGGAGCAACGATGAATGCAAAGAATTGCTATGAAATTTGGTGATTATCGATCAAGATTAATTTGGTCAGATTTCTCGACTGGTTGGTGGTGCGGTAGCAACGACAAAGGTAGTGGTTGGAAGATTTCACAATCGTTTGAGGTAGTAGAAGTGTGCAAGGGAGGTGAATTTGTTTTGGTATGCCACCAGTGTCTTGTTGTTTATAAATTTATAAGATAAGATTACTATGCATAAATATAGGCCCGATGATAGGGGATTAGAGAAGAAGGCAACACAATTTTGTAAACTGTATGATTCTTACTATCGATCCGTAATTAAAGAACTTTGAAATTTTCCTTAGACTTTTTCAATGGTCCACCAATAGAATCAGTTTTTTATGCATAAATGTATTGTACAAATCGCATTAAGACTTGTACCTCTTAAAATTTAGCATTTAAGGAAGAAAGCAACTGGATGATAATGATATCTGGGCCACGTGACAAAACTTTATATTTAGATTTCAAAAGTTATGTTGACTCATTCTAATCAAAAAGTATGATTTTTTTAAAATTTAAATCCTCTATATTGGATAAGATAAGGATGTAGGTTTGAATGTTTCAATATTAATTTTACATTTGTACTTAATGCATTGTATTTTGTAATTTGTTGATAAATGTTTTTACATTCAGCTTAAAGGTTTGGACGTCTTAAATATATATATATATATATATATATATATATATATATATATATATATATATATATATATATATATATATATATATTAAATTTATTTTTATTTGGGCGGTGGGTCACAGGCTGACAAAGGGGACATGTGTGATTATGCTATCTAGATTTCCAAAGATCTCAGTATCTCTCGAAGATGTTGCCTCTTCATTTTTTCCATCCATCCTACACATCTTCATATATATACGTATCTTCACTTCTTTTACCATATCTACAACATTTCCACACTCCTTCTCTCATCAAATTACTCCTTCTCTCATCAGGAATACTCGTTCCCATCTCTTATTTCGAAATTCAATCAGCAATGGAAACGATGAATATTGCTTGCGATCAGTTGAGATCTGCCAACTCAAAAGAATTACATGTCCTAGCCGTTGATGACAGCAACATCGATCGGAAAGTGATCGAGAGGCTTCTCAAGGTCTCCTCGTTCAAAGGTACGACGATCATCCTTATGATTTATTGATTTTGATTCGTTTTTCTCGTCAGGAGATTTTATTTCGAAGGTTGATTTGAGTAAAAGGCTAATTTCATATATCTTGGATCACTGCAGTTACTGTTGTTGATAGCGGAAGCAGAGCCTTACAGTATCTAGGTTTAGAGGACGACAAAAATTCTGCTCAATTCGATGTAAGTTATTGTTTGTTGTACTCCATTGATTCGATTATTTCACGTAGATGACAATTATTGAAGAATTTTCTTTTCTTAATGATGCCAGGATTTGAAGGTAAACTTGATCATGACGGATTATTCCATGCCTGGAATGACAGGCTTTGAACTTCTTAAGAAAATCAAGGTTTGTAAATCCCCTCTTGTTAAAACTCAATATCATCTTTTTATTGATCAAAGAATTCATCCAGATTTACCTGATTTTCTAATAGAACTTATCTTATCAATCATTCCGCAGAATTCTTCAACTCTGAGGGAGATACCCGTAGTGATCATGTCATCTGAGAACATTTTAACACGCATCGATCGGTATGATTATGATCCTATTTATTAACAAAATAAAAACAATTTCCGTACATAGAAAGGTAGATCTGATCATCTAATATATATTCTTGGGTTGATTTTACAGATGTTTGGAAGAAGGGGCAGAAGATTATCTACTGAAACCAGTAAAACTATCGGATGTTAGGCGATTGAAAGATTCTATATTGAAAAGCGAAGGAGATGATGAATTCAGACAGATTGAATCACAAAAGAGGAAAAGAAACGACGATCGATCACCCCAAAAACCGACACCGAAGCTTGCTAGACTGTAGTTTGTTGTCAGATCCGAATCCGATGCCATTTTTGACTAACATCTGAAATTGTACATGTTATATATATACAAGTTAATGAATGTCCCACATATTTTTGACACCATGAAATTACATGAGGGATTTGTTTTGATGATGATGATTATTTATCTGATCTTAATACATATATAAATTCCTTGCAATTTTTTTCCATCATGACAATAACAATATAATCGTTGGGTTTTGATTTTAAAGATCCTATTAAAATAGAGTTTTATATCGTTGAAGTGAAAATTAAGGTATATCAATTTTGGGTGAAAAGAACACACATCCCTTGTATGATCTCATATCTACTTCTATATAAGGTGGATTTTCATTATTGATATAAAACGTTTTTTTTTCTTTTTTTTGAATGAAAACCAAGTTCATCTATCTAAAAAATCATACGAAAGCTATGATTGAAGTATAATTTTGAGAAAGGTTCAAATGAGACCGGTAGTTTTTTGTGATATAGCATGATATGTTTTTATACATATATTTTGGGGGACAAAAGTTTTCAAAAGATGGAAAAAGATACAAGACATAATTTTTGAAAATTTTTAACGTAAAAGAAGAATAATAAATAAAATCATGATTTTATTTTAATATTCTAACACTTTAATAATATTTTTATAAAAATATTATTAGGATTCTAAAACTTTTTATATAATATATTCTGATATAAATATTCTATTTTTAATAGTAATATTCTTGTTATATTATAGCTTTGAATCTCTACTTTTAAATTTATAACACCAATATGTTTTTATATTTTTTTATACACGTTGCAGTCTGTTTTTTGTATATATTATAATTTTTGTTAGCAAAAAAGATTTGTATATATTTGATGGGACGAAAGATTTACTTTACAAAGGTACAATCTAATATACTATTTTGTAATAAGAAAATTTAAAGAAATCAGAGCATTTACTTCAATATATATATTAGTCAAGTCAAAAGCTACAATAAAATAAAACAAGCACAATTTGACCTACACAAAATCTTTGATTTGTGAGAAAGAACTCGATCAAAATGAATCAATTTTTTTATTAAGATTATTTTACAAGATCTGAAGTTGTTCTTTTGTAAGATAAAAGAATATTAAATTATGAGGTAGTCATAGAATCCAAAGTGTGGAAAAAGAAAAAGAAATCACGAAGGACCCTACATATCTCGTGAAGGGGCCGGGGCCATATTGAATGGATGTGAAAATTATTAGACGTTAAAATGCTGTTAACGTGGGATGATATTATAGTATTATGTGGTCAATGTTTTGTATCTTTCAAAGTCAAGACGTATCCGGACTATTACTTGTCAATTTTGAAGATATCAAGAGATTTTACCCAACCAGAAAAGTTATTCTATGTTTGGTCGATTTATTTAAACTTTGAATACTATTATAAATATATGAATCAATTAAAATAAACACGAAAACTATATCAGAAATTCAAACATTATAAATGTATAAAAAATTAATAAAAACAATTCAAATAAACACGAAAACTATATCAGAAATTCAAACATTATAAATGTATAAAAATAAATAAAAACAAAGACGATAAATTGTAGTATTTGGGAAATTTTTGAGTTGAGTACAAATGTGTGTGGAAATGGAGTATTATAATGCTTTAAGGATTTGTTAGAATGCAATAAGGACGAATGTTGATTTTCGAGGAGTAAATTGTGGGTTTTGCTTAAAATGTTGCGATTTTTAAGAAAAGTGTTATTTTTAAGAGAAATGAAATAGGGTGAATCAACCACATTTGATTTTTTTTTACTATATTATACTCTCTCCATCTCAAAATTATTGTCCACAAACAAAAAACATACAAAATTAAGAAAACATTAATTGCCATTAATTTTATTAAATGAAATAACAATTATAACATTTTGTTGTATTTAATTTCATCATTTTATTGCATTTAATTCCATGGTAGGTTGACTAATAATGAGAGATATTTTGGTAAAAAAAATATTTATTTTTAGATTTAGGCTATTATTTTGAGACAAACCAAAAAGAAAACATGAACAATTAATATGGAATGAAGAAAATATTTTTTTTGGAATGGTTGAAATATATATAAAAAAACATACGTGTAAGAGGAAAAAAACGAAAACATCAGAGTACAAAAAGAGAGTTTTGAAGCCATAAATTCTTAATCTGAGTGAAACTTATGCTTCCTAACAACTCATCTAAAAGAAAAAAGAAAAAAAAGGCATCATAAAATATTATATCTTTTTCGGTTTCTCTGTCTCAAACAAGTAGCTATTCCTGAAATGCCACAAACACCACCACATCATCGCCACAATAGACTTAAGCACCACCTTCTTAGCTGAAGGAACAACAATTGAATTCAAGAACTGATCAAAAGCATCTACTGAAAGCAGAGACAACAAGTCAACTTGACACCAACAAGCAACCCTCCTCAACATACCCTTTGCAACCTCACACTCCAGTAAGACATGGTTCATGGAATCAGTTGTATTGTTACACGTTGGACACATGCTGTAACGACCCGAAATTCCTTCCAGCAACGACGTTAGCTTCTATTACTTGAATTATTTATTTTTATAATGTTAAATTAAGTAAATCAAATAAAATGGGGTCAAGTCATATTAAAATAAATTAATAAATAATTAAGAGAAAATAATTTTATTAAATGGATTTATAGGATTATATGATAACAATAATTCACTCAAAGGGTACAAATGAAATTGAGGGACTAAAGGGGTCATTAAAAGAAACGAGAACGAAGCAACAACGAGTACGTGTATGTCATTGAAGGATAGAGGGTTGACATATTTGATTGAGGATTTGCAATTGAGGATTGAAATCAATCTCTACAACCTGGTAAATCCTTAAGTCGTCATCCTCTTATGTGTATGATTCTATTGCTATTCGATTGGTTGAAATCAATGTAAAATTGTCTTCTATTTGACATCATTGATCATCCTTTCTTTCTACTTTAAATTCTAGTGTTTTTATGTAATCAAACTTCAACCATATTTTATTAAGTTTTGATGATTTGTTGTTGTCCAAATTTTGTTATGAACACTCTCAAGAATGCTATTGTTCATGTCCTTGAATTACTCAAAGTTTTGGGAACATTGTCTTCTTTGTTGATTGTTAACATTCATGATTTTGCTATCTTGATTAAAGAGGGTAATTTTCTGTAAAAAGACCATGTTTTGAACCATTCAAAAGGTCTTAAAAACAGCCCTTAAAAGTCTTCACATGAGGTCCAATGGTGGACGAAAATCAAGCCCTTATTGGTGTGTTCTCTTTTTAGCAATGTACTTTGTTTTTTTATTCCTTAAAAGCAATGTACTTTGAGTCATGGTTTGAAGTTGAAATTGCTATTTTAACTTATTGACATGTTGCTACTTTTAAGAACTCAATTTCCATATTTATAGTTGATTTTGGTTATGTATTAATGAATTAAGTTGTCGATTAACCCTTAAAATTCAAAGCTGGGAAATTCAGGAAAATTCCCATTTTGTCCCTGTTTTGTAAAACATATAGAAAAATCGTTACGAGTCAGACTGGGGTTCCATAAACTCTCAATGTTTTCATTCTGAGTCTAATTTGTCCCTGATTTTTTTCCAGGACCTGATGTTTTCTCTAACCAAGGTGAAAATCATCATTTTCACTGACTGGTTAGAAATTAGCTGCACGGATATGCAGTTTCGTAAATTTCATAGAAAATATAAGAAAATTTATATGGACTTGTGTGAGTATTTTCTGAAAATATAATAGTCTAAACTACTAGAATATCAAACAAAATTATAGTTTCTACAGGTTTTGGTGGTGCTAAAGTAGCATTGAACAGGCTGCTGTTTCAGGTCAAAATATGAGAATTTGACTTAGTAACTAGTTTGCATGTTTGGGATATAGAATTACTATTCCTGGTGTTGTAAGCTTCTAGTAACCTACCTTAATGTTTTACTATGGAAAAGCTTGATACCTCAGTTTCTATAAGATTTGAAGTGTATACACGTTTTGACAAATGTGAGTTAATCTTTGTGGTTGTAAAATACTTTGTTAGGGAATTTCATATCTTAGATGGATTGGAATGAAACTAGGTCATTTAGGTTGCATATACCCATATTGTGTGTGATATGATATTGGCTACTATGTTTCCTAATGTGTATGAGTATTGATGATGCATATATGCTAGAATCTTGTTCTTTTTTATGTGAGATGTGTATTAGGGTCATAATAGAGAGAATGCATTGTGTTCATTTTATGTGATGCGTGCGTGCCATGATTTATTAGAAAAACTTGTCTATGATGATTAGGACAAAGCATGCTAGTAATGTTGTCAATCCATAATGATGCTATTTGCAAGAATTTGTATGTGATGTAAAATGTTTTAACTTGTACTTGTTTACATGTTTACATAAGAAGTAACTTGAGAAGTACTATGCTTTTAAAATATGATAATGAACATGCATGATTACTTAGTGAGGTTAAATGTGTAAATTCTTATATGATGAATTAATAACTTATTAATAAAAGGGGGAATACATATAGTGGGCTTAAGGGTAGCAACCTAGACTTAGGTGTGTATCCAATCCGGATAATATGATGGCCAAGTGGGTTGAAAGATACCTAAAGGATAAGAACTTAAGCCAACTTTGATGTCGAATGGTTTTTCTAGACAACCACTTGGGGCATGAATCCATGGTTTCCAAGACTGGAGTGGTGTTTGACGATTGGTGGGATGTCTGTGCAAACATCATGTGTGATTAGGGAGGTGTAACTTGATGGAATTGGCACTGATCGTACCAATCCTTAACGACAACGCATGTACTAGTATATGTAACGTCGGAGTAGCGAACACAACAAAAACCAAGGACAATGTTACGGGTGAGAGTCGCGCCTCACTTAATGCATTGGGTCGTGTTGGTCACATTAGTAGCGAACGAGATACATACCTTGGGGTTACTGCTGAACATATTGACCCATAAATAGGAAATATTATAACAACAATTACAAAGATGATTAAGAGGAGAGTAATTGTAAATGATGAAAATGAAGACTAATGATGTCTTAAAATACTATAGCGGTGTATGAAGTAATAACTAGTTACAAAGATAATAACGAAGAGTAACTAA